GGAATAGCAGATAGTATTATATGGAGACAGCCAGGTAAATTCTACTCTCCCATCTTCCACTAACTAGCTGTGTGACCTTGAGCTAGATATTTCACTCTCTGGGTCTCAGTTTCCTCACATTTCAAAAATGAGGGGATGGGTGGAGAAGATTGCCAAGGTCCCTTCCAATTCTATCATTGTATAAACCAGGGGTGGGAAACCTTTGGCCTTGAGGCCACATATGGCCCTCTAGGTCCTCAAGTGAGGCCCTTTGACTGAATCCAAACTTCATAGAACAAATCCCCTTAAAAAAAGGATTTGTTCTGTAAAACTTGGACTCAGTCGAAAGGCCACACTTGAGGACCTAGAAGGCCACATGTGGCCTTGAAGTTGCAGGTTCCTCACCCCTGGGATAAACCCATTCCCTGTTATAAATTCCTTGGCCATAAAAACTTTATCTGTAATTTCATTTATACAGAATTGTCCAGCCTCTGGAATGCTCTGTAAAAGATAACAAATTGTTTTACCTATGAGGCAATGTTTCTGAGGTCATGCAAAACAACACCAAAGATGTCAGCCCTTTTCTCTTTCTCTGGGCAGAGGGTAAAATTTGGCACTAGCTCTAGTCACAAGCCAAGTGGTTAGGCCAAGGGCACTGAGGAGTTTATTAAAGAGTCTGGTGTCAAAATGGCTTTTGACATCTGGGATTTGCCGTAAGACCTGTTCCTTGGTGGAACAATATTGTTTGAGTGCTCAGTGACATTTTGGGAGCTCTTTGGTTTACTTGGATTACCTCTTCAAGGCAATCCTGTGAGGCAGACAGTATAAGTATGCCCATTTTACAGATGAGAAAACTGAGACTCAGAGAGGGGTAGTCATTGGCTCATGGTTATACAGCTAGTAAATGTCATTGCCAGGATTCAAATACATTCCCTTCCTGACTCCAGGCCTTTGGCTTATTCCACCCCTCCCACACTTCCTCTGGATGGTATAAATATAGAAGAAGTAGGAGAAATATAAAGTCACATAATCTCTTAGGACCCCAGGAAGCTCTCCTCACAAACTCTTCAACTACAGTATTCAGTGTGAAGCAACAGATGAAAACACAGTGCTACAGTTTGAAAAAAAAAGGCAAAAATGGCAACTCAAGAGGTTCTAATCTGGGTTCTGCTTGCTTACTACTTATGTCTTTGGACTCGATGACTAAACTTCCTTGGAATGATTTCCTCATTCATAGTTCTAGGACCTAGCATAGTTCCTTGATTGCAGTAAGCAGGTAGGTGGTATGTGGGACAGACAGTTGGACCTGAAGTCAGGAAGACTTGAGTTCAAATATAGCCTCAAACCCTTACTAGATGTGTGACCCGGAGGAGTCAGTTAATGGTTGTCTACCTCAGTTTCTTCAGCCAAAAAATGGGGATAATGATAGCACCTAACTTTTTAGGTTGTTGTGAAGATAAATGAGGTAATATTTACAAAGCACTTTGCAAACTTTAAAGTGCTATGTAAATGCTAGCTATTATTAGGTGTTTAACAAATGTTGGTTGAATTGAGGGGGGTGGACCAGCTGCTCTCTACAGACCCATTCCAGCTCTAAATACTCTATTTCTATGTCTCAAATGTATTGTTAACACCTACCACTTTGATTTAAAACTTCATGACTCTCCCTGGTGCCTAGCACTGGACACTAGAAACTGCATGTAAGAGGTGATGCATAAGTGTCTGTCAAATGAATGGATAAGGGGTCTGTCCTAATCCTTCTCCTACCAACAGACTGGCCAGAAGATGTCACCCCACTTCTCCTTTATGACAACTAGGATTTACAGCCTCTTTGCATTCGTGTCACACTAGTAATGATCAAATAAGTAACACCTTCCTCCCTCTCCCTTGCTCCCCAGACTCCTCCTGTCTTCTTATCTTGTGGTAGGAGGTTCTGAGAGGCTTTACTTGGATCCTAAGGGAGGGCTCTTAGCTCTCAAATGTCCCACAAGCAATGGGAAGACAAGGATGATAGATATAGATATAGATATAGATATCTCTCTCTATATATATCTCTCTCTATATATCTATATATAATCTATATATCTCTCTCTATATATATATAGATTATATATAGATATATATAGATATATATATATATATGCACACACACACACATATATATATATACACACACATGTACATATATATGTATATCTATATATGTACATATATAGATATATGGATGAATGGATGAATGGATGGATGGATGGATGGATGGATGGATGGATGGGTGGGTGGATGGATGGATGGATAGATGGATGGAATTTAATCCAAGATCCAACTGGAGGTTTCAACCTGAAGAGTTTAATGATAATGGTAGTGCCAGTAGCAGCAGCAGCAACAACAATAAATATAACAATAGTAATTGAGTTAGGTTTAGTGGAAATCAGTTGGACTTGGACTCAGGAATTGGGTTTGACTCCCTGATCTGACATTGACTATGGGACCAGAAGTAGGTAATTTCCTCCCTGGGCTATTTCCTTATCTCCTCATCTGTAAGACAAAAATGGCAATACTAGCACTGCCTACCTCCTTCATGAGATTGTGAGGAGGAGAGTTCTTGGTAATCTCTGAAGGATCCTAACTGTGAGTTATTAGGTACCATACAGCACTTTACAGCTTACAAAGCATGATGGAGGTAAAAATAATCAACAGCCCTATTTTAAAGAGGAGATGAGAAAACTGACCCTCAGAGAGTTGAAGTGACTTGCCCAGGGTCATACATCTTGTAAATGACCAAGAGGATTCTCAGGTCTTCTGATTTCAGACTGGGGCTTATTCTGCTATGACATGTATTTGAGTCAGAAGCTCCTCCAACGATGCCTTCTTGGTTAGAATGAGAGTCTTGGAACTAGAAGGGACCTTACAGGTTATTTGGTCCAACCTCCTCATTTTACAGATAAGAAAGCTGAGGCTTAGCAATGATAAGAGGCTTGTCCAGTGTCACACAAGCTTGAAGTGGTGAGGTGAGAATGAGATTTCACACTCATTTTATCTGGCTCCAAATATACAGCCTTTTCTTTATGCCATGCAAAAAGTTTATTATCTAATTAGGGAGATAGTCCAAGAACAGAAGACATAACAATGATCCCTAATTAGGTGCTATCTACATAGCTGTTTGGAAGTGCATACACAAAGGCTTAGGGCATGGTGGATGGAGAAGAGGTGCCATATGGAGCTTGTGGCATTGAGAAGACTTTGTGGAAACCACAAGCTGTCATTAGAGTTTTGGAGAATGGAAAAGATACAGGATTATATTAATACTAACTAGGATTTATATAGTATAGTACCTTAAGGTTCACAAAGTGATTTACTTATGTTATCTCACTGGATCCTCATAGCAACCCTGGGAGATAGGAGTTATTAAGCCCAATTTATAGTTGAAGAAACTGAGGCAAACAAAGGTTAAATGGTTCACCCAGGATTACACAGCTAGTAAGTATCTGAAACAGGATTAAAACTCAAGTTTTTCTCAGTTCAAGTCTAGTTCTCTATTTTCTATGGTTCCAATCCACCATGTTTCCCATCTACAAGGAGGGTCTTTGAGAGAAAGGATTGGTTTTTTTCACATCGGGGTGCATAGAACATCTTTCCTCCAGAGGAAGAGCCAATGGTAATGCTTGCCCCAAGGTGTGTGGGCACACCTGCACCATTTTCTGATCACATCTATGAGTAAAGGTGAGAAAGTTGTCTTTGGAGACCATGGGAGCCTCGTAGAGTAGGGGAGGGCTATAATTTATGAATGGATGTCTTTTTTTTTTAAGCTAGGCAGTGGGGTTAAGTGACTTGCCCAGGGTCACACAGCTAGTAAGTGTTACATGTCTGAGGCTGGATTTGAACTCAGGTCCTCCTGACTTCAGCGCTGATGCTCTATCCACTGCGCCACCTAGCTGCCCCCAAAGTTTGGGTTTGAAAAGTGAATGGAAGTCTTGAAGGCACAGCTAAAGAGTCTAGATTTTATGGGAAGAAGGAGCTGGAAGACACTTCCAAATATATAAAAAAGCTGCCACTGAATCCTTGACCCAGGCAGCAGGACTCACATTACAAGGAGGTAGATCAGGCAACTCTAAATGTATGTCATGCCCCACCTCTGAACACTGATGTTAGGTCACCTGCCATGGCTGCACACCTTCCTAGAACCATTTTCCTGGATCCTTCTGTTCCTTCAAGGCTCAGGCCATGTACTACCTCCTTGTGAAGCTTTCTATGATATTCCTATCTGGGAGTATTTTCTCCTTCCTTGAATTTTCTTACTCACTTAGTCTGCATCTCTCTTTTGTTCTGCTCATTCCTCACTTTATGTTATATTTAATTGTGTACTTGTTGCAACCCAGTAGAATATAGACTCTTTAAAGGTAAGAATGATATCTTAAAAAAAACCTCAAAACTTGTATCTCTGTGGCTTAGCACAGTGTCTTGCATATAGCAGATAATAAATATTTGTTGGATGATTGGAAAGGCACATTTTAAGGAGAAGGGAATAAGCTTTTATATAGCAAGTAGTATGTACTAGGTACTTTCTAAGTGCTAAAGGGAGGATGAGGATCAGGATAAGAACAGCTAGGTGGTGCAGTGGATTGAGCCATCCATGGAGTCAGGAGGAACGAGGAAGAAGAGCAGGCAGGGTGAGAGCAGGAAAATGGGAGCTAGAAGGTAGTGAATGAGAAGCAACATCTTTCTAATTCACCAGTCACAGCACCTGAAATGAGAGATTAATTACTTTACTTCAGGCATTGCCCTCTGTGGAATCCTCTTTCAAAAATGCAAATAATTCTTGGAAGGCTAATATACTAAATCACAGGAGCCTTAGTGCAAATCAGATACCAGGCACCCTATGGTGCCACAGGGACCCTAAGTGTTTGGAGGGAGGGAAGAAGAGGGAGAGACCACAAACCATCTAAAGGAATTTTCCTCCTCTTCACCATTTTGTCCAGGGCTGGTCTTTCAGGGAATGTTGGCCAACAGAGACATCTCCATGAAAAATCCTCTTGGTCAGAGCCTTAAATGCCTCCAAAATGGAACTGATTGGGAAGAACGATGGCTGGCTGACAGGTTTGAAACTCTAAGCAATTGAAGAAAAAATGGTCCTACAGCTAATGCTGGGGACTGTGCTGCCTTTCCCCCAAAGTGAACTTGGACTTTGTCCATGTTCAATGGATCCTGCTCCGGGAGGAGATTGCTTCCTGCTCTAGTTATTAACTGGAGAGAGGGGCAGGGGAGGAATGTTGTGCGCTGTGTTTTGATTTGTTTCTGTCTTTCCCCACTCAAACCCTATGTTTATTGACAAGGCTGTGCCAGCCCCCCCGGCTCTTCCACCCAGCCAACCATAGTGTGCAGTCAAATAATTAGTAGCTGAGGTGTCAGGAGCAGACATTGAACTGACATCTGTTTACGGGTGTCAGATCCAACACTTTCCTGCCTCCGGATGAATTATCAGAGGTTTTCCTGTCTGCCTGCTTGCTGGTGGGGCCTAACTGCATCGTTAATAAGGGAACATCTCCCTTGGTAGGATGGGGGGGCACCCATTGCCCACTGCCCCTGTCCTTTGTGATCTAGGAGCCTCTAACTTTTCTATACTTTTCTTTTTCCTCACCCAATTCTCCCTGTGAAGCTTGTTGTAACTGATGGGAGAGTGTGGCTCCTTCTGAGACAAACCTGTGTGCTCAGGAACCTCCTATGGGGGGCCCATTAGGTTCTGGGTGCTCAAGAACCTCCTATGGGTGGCCCATGAGGTCCTGGGTGCTCAGGAACTTCTACAGTGAGGGTCCATGCTTCATTTTCTAAGTGTTGAACTTCCTGAGAAGGAAGTCAGGAAACATCCCATGGAGACTGGTAGAATCTCATAAATAGGGTCTGTGCTATGTGTATTTATGTGCCCATAGCACGCTGAACACAGTGATTGCTAACTAAATGTTGAATTGAATTTAATCTCATCAGCAAAATCCTTACAAATTCATCCACTAAGACAAGTTCACTCTAACCAAGCCCAGAAAGGCAAAGCACAATCTATATATTAAAGGGTCACTCGACTCATTGTCACAAGGCCAGATCTGAGGTAGGATATAGAATGTTAGACTTAGGGTCAGAAAGTTGTTGTTTTCTCAATTAGTTGTGTCTGATTCTTCATGACCCATTTTAGGGTTTTCTTGGCAAAGATACTGGAATGGTTTGCCATTTCCTTCTCTAGCTCATTTTACAAATGAAGAAACTGAGGCAAACAGTGTTAAGTGACTTGCTCAGGGTCACACAGCTAGCAAGCATCTGAGGGCATTTTTAATCTCAGGTCCTCCAGGCCTGGCACTCTATCTGCAGCACCACCTAGCTGCCTAGAATCAGGAAGACCTGGCATCTAATCCTTCCTAGGACACAACTCAATAGTTTTATGACACTGGACAAATCATTTAATCTTTCTGAGCCTTAGTTTCCTTAGTAAAATGAGATACCTTGGACTCAGTGACATCCAAGGTTGTCTTCATCTGGAAAGCAATAACCCCACAATTTGAATTCTTTTTGTTTTGAATATGCAAACAGAGCCTATTTTGGTGGAGACAGCAGTAAGCAGATGAACTCCCCCTTGATTACTGGATGTCAACAGAAAGGCAGATAGGTATGGGCAGTCAAAATGCTCCTAGCTAATATTTATATAGTGTTTTAAGATTTTCAAAGCACTTTACATATATTATCTTATTTGAGCCTTAAAACAAACCTGTGATGTAGGTCACGGGGTCAATAATTATAGATACTGTGTTATTATCCTCATTTTACAGAAGAAGAAGCCAAGACTAAAATAATCTGTCTATGGTTGCACCACTATTAAGTGATGGAGGCAGGATTCCAATCTAGGTCTCTCCTGAACTTGGACATAGTACCCTTTCCTTTATGGTGTACTGCCAAAGACAAGATCAAAGACCCAGAGAACAGGACCTCTTTCAAGATCTCCCTTTTAGGGAGTTCCCCAGCCATGGGCAATAGCTAATTTTCATCACTATTCTCTTCCCTTTTTAGTTCAACTATTTCCCTTCTCTCCATATAGAATGAGGATATTTGATACTCATGTTTTGGGGGGTAGATTAGTGAGGATTAATGTTGAGAAAACAGGTGGAGAGTGACAAAAGGAGGCAGGATTGATATAATTTTTACCTGGGTTTGTGAAACCTTCAAGGTGATGACGCAGAAGACAAAAGACCAGTAGGACAACTGAAAGGTAAACATGAGCATCCTGGATCAATATCACAGAGAAGCCAAACAGGATTGTTAAAAGGGTGATCAATGTAGAGTCAATTTGTCTAATGAAAAGCTGGGAATGAGACCTTCTGTTGACATAGTTTGCTAGCACAGCTGCATCTCAGTGGCTAAGAACTCTAACAATAATACACAAAAGATAAGATATTTCATGGAGCAATGTTTAAAGAAATACAAATACCATGGAGCACACTTAGCTATTATCAATTACCACTTAACTGAACTTCAGGCAGAAGCTCCAAACTTACCCTAAATCTTTTCTAAGTTTCAGAAGTCTCCCATGTTGTATCCACACTGGTATTCTGATCTTGAGGTCTTTGGATTGATGGTGTAGCTCATTGTAAATGTTTGCTCTTGCCAATTAATTCCCTCTATGTTGGGCATGAAAGAACTCTTAGAAAGCTACTTCTCCTTATTACGTTGAAGCCAACATTTTTGTTTCTTCAAGTTTCCTAATGATATCTCAATCTAGCTCTCAATAATAGCTCTCTTCTTTTGACAATATGAACAGAAAACATCGTGTCTGTCTCCATTGTCCTAGTGGCTCAAGGCTGAACTCAACCCCAGGAAAACCAAAAGCATTTGTTATCTTGTCCCACTCATGACTATCTCTTTTACGATAATGAGAGTTTCTCAGAACACTCGTTAACATCACCTTCCACTCCCTAGACTTACTCTCATGAGGCAGCCAAGTGGGGCAGTGGGTAGTATGTGACCCTGCCTCACATACTTCCTGGCTCCTGGCTTCCTAAGTAAGTTACTTAACCTTTCAGGTCAGCTTTCCCATCTATCAAATGGGAATAATAATAAAACGCCTTCCTCCTAGGATTGTTTTTAGTTTCAAATAAGATAACATTTTAAAATACTTTGCAGATTTTGAAGTGCTGTACAAATGTTAGCTATTATTAGCTACCCTCTCTTATTTTTTGAAATGGCTGCCTAGTATTCAGTCTGCAGTCTGTGGCCATGGAACATTGTGAACGTAATTGTTTTACATGAAATTTGTGGTTTTGGCTTTATTAGTGTCCAATTAAAATCAACTATGCTAGTCCGGTAATGTCCACCACAGAAAAAACAAGAAGTGGCCAAAAGGTATTTATATACACTCATATCAGAAACCAAGAAAGGGAGCTCAGATTAGAGAGGAAAACCCAGCCTGGTCACAGAAGGATGGCTGAATATCATTTGGTGGTGGAAATGAGGTGATTGTGTTCTGGAGCCATCAGTCAATCAACAGAACATTTCTTAAACATTTTCCATGTGCCAGGCACTACGCTAAGTGCCGAGGAAACAAAGAAAAATAAAAAATAGCCCCTACCTTCAAGGAATTAATATTCTGATGGGGGCAGATGACATATAAATGCAAAGGTAAGTTCAGGATGTATACAAATCAGGTACAAGGCAACATTAGAGGAGTGACAATAGCTGCTAGAGTGATCAGGAAAGGCATCCTGAAGAAGGTAGAGGGATAGGAGCAGCTAGGTGGTACAGTGGATAGTGCACTGGCCCTGGAGTTAGGAGGACCTGAGTTCAAATTTGGCTTCAGACGCTTACTAGCTGTGTTACCCTGGACAAGTCACCTTAACCCTGATTGCTTAAAAAAAAAATCCAGACATGGGAAAAGACACAGAGATAGGATACAGAATATTCAGAGTGAGAAACACCAAAGCAGGCCTGTATGGATGTACTCTGCTCCAGAGATATGTAAATGATTGACTAGGAATTGAATCATCTTTAGAGAAATTTCCATTTCCATCACCAGGCAAGTTTCTCAGTCCACCCCTTACAGTCTGACTTCACTTGAAAGATCTTTTACCTCCTACTCTTTGCCTCAGAATTATCACAGTGGGGTTTCATTAAAAAGTAAGCTCTTAATCTTGGCCCAGAGAGTTTATTTTATAAAGATGTTTTACCCGAAGAACAAGAAAAGACCATGACTCACTGTAATAAGGTAGATATTGTGACAAGATAAATGTGAAAATGTTAATGAAAGCCACTCGGGGGACATTTGCATAAAACAGGCACTTTGTTACTTAAAAAACCACTGGTGTCACCTTTAAGAAAAAAGAGCATTGCTGAACAGTCCATTTGGGAATTATTTGGTCAAGAATTCTTTTTTTCTCTTTGCTGGCATCAGCTCTGTGTGCAGGAGAGGTTTGAGTTCATTTGGGTCTGAGTTCATCAGCTCCGGATGGTGGTTTTCCTGGTTGAAAATCAGAATCCTCTGACTGGAACATGACAATCATATGACCCAGCACCTCGCAGGAATGCCACAACCCCAGGCTGCTTCATCCCAGCCAAGGGGAAAGAAGTTAAGGAGGCGTCAGGATCTTATCCACTCTTTGAAGCCTAGGTCAGGTAGCCTCCACTTCATGAAGCCTTCCCAGAGGCCCCCAACCCAATGGGCTGCATCCTCCCTCCCCAAACCTGCAGCACTCTTTGTACCTAGCTCATTACACTGGTCACATGCTACTTATTATCTGTCTCCCAGAGTTACAGTTCTGGACTGACACAGACTCAAGTTCATATCCTGGGAGTCTCTCATGAAATAATACTCTATTCCCTATGTCCCTACTCAGATTCTCACTCTGGCAAAAATCATAATCTGGCTCATTAACTCTTTCTTAGGGTTATAAGGCTCTACTCCCTAGATGGTACAGTAGATAAAGCTCTGGGCCAGAAGTTAGGAAGTGTGTGATCCTGGCAAGTCATTTAGCCTCTATCTATCTCAATTTGCTCATCTGTAAAATGCAGATAATAATGGGACTTACCTCCTCAAGATGTTGTGAGGATCAAATGAAATAATATTT